CGAGGGTAAAACCCACTTTCGTATAATAAAAAACAGCTAAACGAGGGCTTTATTAATTTGCGGTATATCCCGTTATTCATATTACACATATAATAAAACTGGTGAGGGATAATATCCATCACAATCGAATCCAACATAAATAATTTAATTTGTGATTGATCACAGGGTGAGAGGGATTCACTTTGGACCGGGAACTGTCTCTGCTGTAGTTATTAACTGATGATCGGGAAATTTGTAACTTTAAACGACCGGCATTGCGTATAGTTGGAAATACACAAGAAATTATGTAGGATTTAAAAAAAAAGACAAGCATATGGCGTACATGTACGTATAATAATATATCAGTAGGTTATGCTATCTGCAGATAGTTAAGCTTATGATTAGAACGAAGGATTGGGGTATTATCGTATTATGGAAAATTCGTGCTTTAAAAATCCCTATTCATAGGGTAATCGAAGTCTCTTGCGTAGCAACGGACGTGTTAGTACTCAAAAGAGGCGTCGGATTTGGCGAGTACTAAGGGTAAGTATTACTTTATTACCTGTATATGTGAGACTTGTCTTTCTTTTACATATAGAGCGCATTACTTATATACTTATTCTCTATACACTATATTTACTAAATACATTATATGCACTAATTACGCTATATACACTAATTGCTCTACATTCGCTATATCTACTAATTACGCTACATCTATTAATTACGCTAATTACGCTACTTCTACTAATTAATATATATATTACTTTAATTATGCGATCGATCTTTAATAAATTATCGACGATCTTATTTTAGATCGTGACAGTATAGATTTATATGAAAAATCTAAGTGTCAGAGTATAATCAATTATAATAGGTTACGGGTTAACTTCCCGAAATTCATTTCACTGAATACTATTTCACCGAAGCTATTGTACAGACAGACCATTTTACTAACAAGACTTAATATTGATATCCCATTTTCCCGAAATATCATATCTGCAATTACCATTTTACTGAATCTTAAAAAAACGGCAGTCTACTTTACCGACATGTCATTTCCAATTGATACATTTTTCTGACATCTATTCTGTCGGGGAAATAGGATTTCGGGAAAAAGGCCTTGTCGGTAAAAAAAGGTTATCATTATACTTCATGTCAAAAAATTAGTCGAGAAATTAGTTGGACCAAACATTCGGTGTCAGAAATATGCCTTGCCAGGACAAAGGAATTTCGGAATTATGGGTTCGGTGGAATAGTATTTCGAAAAGTTGAGAAATAACGCATGAGTATAATTATTAAAACTGGTTCCAACTTCTAAACTCGACCATACTACTTTACATAGGATCACCACAGGGCTTAAAATCCTATAGTAATTTGCCGGCCTGCAGCCTATTGTCTGATGTGTTTTTCTTGATTCATCTTATTGTTTACTATACCAGCCAATTATACTATAGATCAAGAATGATATTTTTGAATGGTCAGCATTTCAATATAGTCTTTTAAGCCCTGGATCACCCCTATACTGCAAGAGATCTGCAAAGTTGAACTAGACTACACCTGATTTTACTTCAAAACAAAACCCCATTTACATAATCATTGCATCTCCTAGCATAACTATCAAAATCATCAACGAAACACTAATTAAAATCCGTTCATTATAATTATTAACTAAATAAACCATTAAAAAACGACTTACAATATGGGGTGTTTCATATTAAAAAGGCCTATTTTTACATATAAGCAATTTTGAGTAAATCGAATTTAATGGGATCTTTGTTAAGAAAATGATCCTCTGAGCCTGTGTTGATTTTGTGAATTAAAATTAAATTTGCCGGACTTCTAGTTATCCAATTTGAATAACCTTTTTTTTTTTTTCTAGAACTCAATAAGCTCCATAAAATAAAATCCTCTCAAATTGGATAAATAGATGGTTGGCAAATTTAATTTTTATTCACAAAATCAACATAGCATTGGAGTCATTTTCCTAGCAGATCTCAAATGATCATCAAATAATGATCAAATAAAAGCATACAGTACGAGACAGCAAAAAATATCCAATATTTTTTTAAAAAACGTCAAATTGCATACCGAAAAATCTTAAAATTCGTAAAGATTAGGTTAGGGTCAGGATTAGGATCTAAAGTGGGGCAGTAAAATTACCCAACGAAAACTTTTTGTTAGGTGGTTTCTGATGCTGATTTTTGAGCTGAGGTTTGGTTTGAATCTTCCTGATCGTGTTACGTTACACCTAATCTTGAAATCTGATCGTCAACGGTGTTTAAAGGTTGCCTATTAAAGTGCCTCCTGCGTACTAACAAAAAATTGCCTCTGGAAATTTTACTATAATTATGGCCTTTAAACCAAATACCAACTTACTGGTAGGACCCTAACCCTAAACTATTGCGAAATGTTTTTTTCTTAGCGAAATTTTTTTTAATGGGATCTAATGAGCGAAATTTTTTAGACTGACATTGCTAGCCCCATATTCATTGTCGGCATGTTGTCAAATTTTGAGGTTGATTTTCGTGTAATAAATTTTGATTGGTTAATAAACCAATTTTTTTTTACACCGAATTTTGAAATTCATAAGGGAAAGTAGGGTATTATGACGCGGGTGGGTATTATGACGCACTTATGTTTTTTGATGATATACTGCGAAACACTGATCAGAATTGAAAGATTTTAGTACCATTCGGATTCGTCTTACTGAGGCAAATCAAATAATATATATATAATTCTAATTGTTAAACCACAAGTTATAAGTAAAAGTCGATATTACTTATGCCAGTATTAAGCATATTTTAACTTTTATTACATATTTCCTTATTTAGGTAATGTCCTAAGGAAGGATGTAGTACGTACGTAATACGTACAATAGTGAACATAGTGCATAATACCCCAAATGTGAAAAACATAGCATTTTTTGAGTAGATTTTGAAAGTACATATTTCAAACTTTTTTTATAAATTCGGAGGGGTTTTTTTTATTTGTAGATAGTTAATTCGATAAGTAATCTATTTCAATAAATTTCAAGAATAAAAATATTTTTCTGGAAATTTTTATATAAGCAACTTTTAAGTGCGTCACAATGTCCTACTTTCTCTTATAAATTTTATACTAAAATAACTTTATAAATTGTTAAAGAAATAACAATCTATTTAACAGAATTGTAACTTTATTAGATTGTGACAAATCTGTTAGGAAAGATTTTTAATTTTATTGTAAACTTTTTAATTATAACACTTTTTACAAATTATATATAAAATATTGGATGTTTTTTTGCTGCCCTGTACTGTATAAACTTTTAACTTCATTTTGCGAATCTTTTTATAACATAATTAGTATCTATTACTTTAGCAAACTTTTTATTGAATATATGTCAATCTAAAAATCAAATAAAAATTTTTGAAAAATTGTTAAAATGGGCCCTTTTAATATGAAGCACCCCATATGGGCTTTTGTAGTCGAAGAGATTTTGAGATAATCAAGTTTATTGTGTTCGAACTCCATAGGAAGACTTTCATATGATTTGCTGTTATTTATACAGTTTAAGTACTTTTTTAAAAAAATAAGACTACAAAGAATAAACAAAAAAGACGTATATAGAAAGTTTTATTAGGTTGTAGGACTTCACTATTAAAAATAATCAAAATCATTTCCGGTTTTAGAGAAGTTAGCATAACGATAACCTAATTCTATCTATCTTTAAGAAGTCGCTAACTCCTCTAAAACCAGAAATGATTTCGATTATTTTTTATGGTTAAGTCCTATAACCCTAATAAAACTTTCTATATACTTCTTTTTTGTTTATTCTTCGTAGTGTTATTTTTTATAAAAAGTACTTTAAACTGTATAAATAATGTAAAATTAAATTGATTTAACAGCCAATCATACGAAAATCTTCACAATTTTGGTAATCTTGTCTACGAGTCTCCAAAAATGTAGTCGATGCCGAAATTTACCCGAGTACAACGGAAAAAAATATATTATATACCCGGGTAGTGTTTTTTTGACAGGGTACAATTACATGCGTCTGCCACCTTTTTTTTCGCCAAAGCTAGGTAGGATTATTAAAAGTTCACTAGAACCGATTTGTCGAGTTGACACAGAATAGACACATTGAATTTGACCCATAACTATTTATGAACAGAGTTCTAAGAGCCACATGAATAATACTTCTAACATGTAGCACGGACCTTTGCAGTAGAAAGGGTTCAAACTACCCTGAAAATCAATAGAATCGATTTGCACAAAATTAAGGTACGGTATATAAAAAAATTTAGATATTTTCAAATTTGGGCCTTTCTACGGCATGCATGTTATTTTTGATTTATAGGTTCAGGACTTTAGGAGTTCACAAAAACCATGTCCTAATTTTAGGAATGCATTTTTTTTGATATCTATATAGAAATAATAACGCTAACTGCATCGAAAAGTTAACCCTAGCCCAAACCTGGCTTTAAACATTACCCTAATTTTAGAACTTAGTCGTAGTAAGTATTGCTAGATAATATAATAAACACCTTAACGTTGACAGTAATAAATTATTTTGACTGGTTAAGACTAAGTTCAGGGACTTCGGTAGGACCTAAAGTCTTAGTACCTACCTCTTTATTTCGGATCTGACCCATACTAAACTTTTTAAGGACTAGGGTATTATGTACTTGTCAACACGTAAACGATTTCGGTGTTTTATGTTAGGTTTGTCTACAAACGGGCAAACTATTTAGCAGTATATAATGTAAATAAATTCAGCATAAATTCTCATTTATTCTATAAAAAAATTTTTTTTTTCGTTTTCAAAAAAAAAGCATATATAAAACATAACGAATAAAACAAAAAAAAAAAGACAAAACATATATAAACACGAAATTAACCTTAGAAATAAACAAAAAAAAAGAAAGAAAGAAAAGATATTAAATAATATGTAAATGGTATGTCTGAATATCACAAGGCTTCCATCCACACTCGTAATAGAATCCCAAGTTATTTATTCTTAGATTACTATTTTTTTCGATTCACTCAAATTCTGAAATCAATGCTTGATTATTTGCAAACATGTTTACATTATTTCCATTGTCGTGTAACAATAATGGTTGTAATGACATAGGGGATGTAAGTGTTTGTTGAGAAGGTAATGTGACACTCTGTTGTACTTGTTGCGAATGAAGATAAGAAGACCATTCTTCGAAATTTGCACCTTGTGGAAGGTTCCAAAATCCAGAATTCAAAGAACAAATCGTATTATTTCCAACTCCATTATTTGGTGAAATTACACCTTGTGCTGAATAAGGATCAGATGTGTTTGCATTAGATTGTGTTTGTGATTGTGAATATGTGGTCACATTTCTTAATCCAAACGAGTTACTAAACATTTGTGCCGGTTCTTGAAAGTTATGACGTAGATGTCGATGTTGTTGAGCTTGATTAAAATTAAACGGTGGTGAAGCTATGGCTGGATTATTATGATTCATTACTGAAGAGTGTCGTTGATATGAAGGTAAAACGCTTGGAGATGATGCATTATTAAAATTTTGTGATTTTGTAGAACTCTCATCATCATCACTATCACTATTATTATTACTATTATTATTATCATTGTTATTATTATGTGATTCAACATATTGACTATATTGCGCACGATATCGTGCTTGTCGTCCATATCGGTCCATTGTATCAAATGGGTTTGGTTGATTATATGCAAAAGTACTTCGTTTTTTCAAACTACGGCTAATTTCTGTGCTATTGCTTGATGATCCCAGGTTCGTGTCCAATTGTAAACCTTTGAAACTTACCAATTCTTTTATCACATTACCATACTTGTGTGATAATACACAATGGTTTTTTAAGGATTCTATCGCTCTTATACATTTCACAAGACCCATCTTTGCTGATTGTGAGATAGTGATATCAGGTTGGGTAGCATTGCAAGTATGAATAATAGAAGTTATAAATATATTGTAAATTGTAAGAGGCAAGCAACTCTTCAATGTATTTTTTCTATACATCAAATCAACGATATCAGAAATGATTTCTGCTGATGACGAGCATATTTTACGTGATGAATTATTTTCTGCTGCATATGGGCGATGAAGAAGAATTAATGTTTCATAATATATAATATGAAGATTGAGCGTCAAAAAATCCAAATCTTCAAAATGTTGATCTGGGTTACATTGCAGGTCTGGTGGTAATGTTACAAACCAGGTTCTAAGCGACGACTCGAGAATCGAAATTACTGAATCACTAACTGATGCTTGATTACATTTTATTGCATATATGTTTTGAAGAATACGCCCCTTTATTTCACAAAGTCTAATCAAACAATTAAACCGTGACATAATGTAGGTCGATTTTAGATTTTTTGATTCTTGTATCGGAGTTTTATTATTTGTGGTGTCAGGTGATGGTATTATGCTTATTGCATGTCCCATTTTATATGAAAATGATTCGAATTCATCATATTCATGTGCTGATGGGTGTGCGGCATCCACATCTTTTTCATCGATAGCCAATGGGCGTCCCAAATGTGAACTTGGTATCCTATAAACGTAAATATAGAATATGAGTCTTAATAGATGAATGTCTAATTTACGAATTGTTTAGTAAATAAAGATTTCTTCAAAAGGTTTAACAATCTAATTTTAAATTATCTTGCCAACCTTTTGGTGACAATCTGTATGAATGTATATTCACCTGTCAAGAATGTAACAATTCCAGAAGATGCGTCTTTGTTCTTCCTTTTCTCCGGGAGACAATGTGATTGAATGCCACTTTTCGTTATTACGATGCATTCCTAAAGTTTGTACCATTCTTGTTGCCATACCGGAATAAATCCAAGCTCTCGTATCTTGACCGGTTCCATGCTCTCTAATAGATAATAAAACCAAAGCTTGAACGTTTGTTACATGAGCTCTATCATAATCATTGTCGAGCAAAGCCTTCGCACGATCAAAATAAATATCTCCTGCTGTTAACGGGTTTTCCCGGTCTTTTCTTATTTCAGGCCTATCGGAATAAATTGAAGCTATACAATACATAGAATTCAACAAAAGATAAGGTAGATGCTCACGATCCTTTAGCAATTCGAAAAATCGTGGCTTATATATGATAGGAACAATTGGATGGACATATTTGAAATAAAGGTTTAATAAATGATCGGACAATTCTTGAGAAGGCAATTCCATAAGCTCTGGTCGCAATGCCAATTTTTGATTTGATGCTGAAGTTTGAATGTTTGTGTTATTAGAAAGTGACAATAATCCATCCTTGTATCGACCACTATGTATTAAATATTGAAGGCCACTGCTTCGTCCATAATAACTAACTTGATTTTTCTCATCAATGCTGAGAATTCCCATGACATCATTATCATTACTGAAATAATCATTGGTGTTAGCGTTAGGTGGAGAATCCGTTAAAGATCCAGTTGATCTAGTTTCTAATACATCTCCAGATGACGCTAGTCTATTTCTCCATGTTGCATAATTCACTCTTCTGGCTTTATGAAGAGGATGTAAATCGTCCTTCATTAATTCTGCCAAAATTGCTTCCGCACGTGGATCATTACTATGAACCAATTCGCCCATGAGTGATTCCATTTTATACAATCGAGATTCAATGGCTTCTATGTAACCTTTAGGAGGTCCCCTGTATAATAAAATAATCAGGATGGTTAACCTTAAATGAATCGATTCGAAAGTCTTTAATAAAGAAAAAAAAAAACAAACCTTTTTTTGGTAGCGTCGTTATAGGTACAATTCAAGTTAAAAGCCAAACAGTTACTACATATTGGAGGGGCACCGCCACACTATGAACAAACAAAAAAAATATTGCAAACCGGTCAGAAACAATTGTTTTTTTTAGAGGAATAATGTTTATATTTGTTTTCATATTTGTATGATCTCCGTTTTCCTGATTAATTAACATTGAACTTTTTAATGGCTAAACATTAAGCTTTATAGAACTACCAACCCGAAACTTTGGCAAATCGCACAAAATGATTGAGAACACAACTTTACGGCTGTATAAATAAAGGATTATTTACCTTTACTTTCTTTCGTCGGCAAGAGTCACAGGCTTTAGAAACGCGTTGTCTCTTATAAGACATCTTTTTGTCATGAATCAAGATTTCTTTTTACAACAGCAGTGATTATTCATTTTATATTTTGATGAGAGGATCTGAATTTATACGGTCAAATTTCATTGAGTGTTACATTCTTACTTTAAAATCCCCTTTCCCGTTACAGCATTGGCTTTTAGTTCGGAAAGTTACTTTACTTGTCGTACTATGTATTGATCATTCTGCTTTAAGTTAAACCGTGCCAATCTGAATGATTTACAAGACCGAAAATGTCGAAGGTCCGATGTTCTATATGTTCAATAATAAACGTGAAAGATTTAAAATGGGCCAGATCAGGTCCATTTAATAAAAAGCTTCTAGCTATCTATTAATTTATATATTATTAATATTAATATATTATTTATTTTATATATTTTATTTTATTTTATGTTATTTTATTTTATCTTATTATATTTTATTTTTTATTTCATTTATTTTATTTTATACACTTATTTTATTTTTATTTTATTCTTTACCTATTAAATTTCGGCTTATCTACTTAATTCAGAACCTATGTAGTATTATAATAAATTGTATGCATACCTAAACTATACAATTGCATTACCATTATGATTTTTTAACATTAACTATGTACGTACGCACCTAAAGATGGATCTACGAAAAAAATTCAGGTAATGTGGGTACGTATGTTCGTATGTAACGCAAATAAATCTGAATTTACAACATGGACTCACGCGCGCATATTTTAAAAAGAAACAACCACGCATGATACCACAATGCGACGACGTAATAAAAACAATTAATACAATTAATATTAAATATATTATGCCAAGTCTTCGGCTATTTTGGGGCTGTACTTATGCTCGTGTAACTATCCCACATAAGGGAATTCAGCTTCAAGTAGAACCTACAAAAACGTTTCACAATCGACACTCAAATAATTAAAAACTATTTCTTTTTTTTCCTCTTTTCATTTGCATTTATAATTCGCTAACTATAATTATTTCGGCCTTTCCCCATAGTCGTCTATCGTTCATTCTTTACTTTAGTCACGTTTCAATCTTTTTCTCCATGCCGCACATTGTACAAAGAGATATTTGTGCATTTCGCTTTTATTAAATATCTTCATATAATACGACCATTATTTTCCTGCACAATTATAACTTAAGTGCCCTGGTTCTTCCTCTATTTATCCAATTGGTTTTCATCTGTGTCTAATTACCACATTATAATAGTTCTTATCGGAATTATTATGGACAATTATTTAACATATTTAACGAATACCGATTATTTTTGTTAAAAAAAGTATCGATAGTTTATTGAGATTCATCAAATTCACAAGGAATAAACCAGATACTTGGTTCGGAAAGTAATTACGTCTAGTACATAATATAATAGTTATTAACTATATAAATATTGAATTTGATAACTTTTGAAATGCGAATATTTCATCGATTTTTTATAGTGATCTATTTATTGGTACAATGCATATGGATTGGAAGTGTTGAATGTGACCCCAAATCTCAAAGATTGTAATTTGATATTCTAAATGATTTTCTGTAATTAATTGTCACTAATAAATAATTATTTTCTAATTTTTCTTTTCTTTTTTTTCGTGTTTTTCTTTAGTGGACATAGCGCAGTTTTGATAAATAACAAGTAAGCAAGAATTAGAATTCTTTACACATGAAATTATTAATTAATCCTAATTCTATTTATTATTTTGATTAGATTATATGTATATGGGGGTAGAATAATAAATACGCTTCAAACACCAGGCACAAACCCAACATCAAGTCTGACACAGAAAGATGACATTAATGAATTGATAATGTTAGACATGACAAGTTCATTTGATTCTTCAAACCCTAATCTACAAGTTATTACTCCTAGCAATGCACAAAATATTTCTTTTCATGGTATGTCGACGGGAGGTTCTAATAATGATTTGATGGTTGTATGGGGTGGTGAAACAATAAATATCACGGATTCCAATTCATTATTCTATTTTGACACAAAAAATCAACTAATGACGGCTCCAATTTCGTCGAATACGCTTACTGGAAGAATTTGGCATTCAATGGTTACTGGGGTCAATGATTCTGTAGTCTATATATTTGGTGGATATGATGGTTCATCTGGAGAGCTACTAGGAGGTCAAATATCATCACAACAGCACAATTTTTATAACGATTTGTATAAGATGAATACAAATACAAATAGTATCAATTTGGTATCTGTATCTATGTCCGGCCAGCCGGGCACACCACTAACCAGAGCACAACATTCGGCTACAATTCTGAGTAATGGAAAAATTTATATAATTGGTGGTATTACTTCAAATAGTTCTATTGGACAGTTTGGGTTAGTTCCGATCTCTGAAATTGATATTTTTGATACCTTAAATAACAGTTGGTCTAAGGTATTTTATTAAAATTCGAATAGAATAACAATTGTTTTTTAACCTATTTGTATATTTTCTTTTACTGAATATTTTATTATTATACTTTGTTATTTATTTGTAGGTTATAGTTACATCTACAGATCTACCTCAGGATCGAAGACTTCATGGAGCTGTTGGAAGTATGTGTTAAATTTACGTTCAATTATTTAATTTAATTATGTAGGTTATCAATAATTTAATCGATTTATTATTACTAACAAAAAAAAAATAGCATCCAACAACCAGATTATAATATTTGGAGGAGCAGATTTAAGTTTGAACAAACTTTCGGATGTTGCTGTATTAGATACATTTAATGATACTTTATCTTGGACTAAGCAAAAAACAAATGGAAATTCACCTTCAGCTCGTTATTCACATACTTTTACTATAGTAGGGAACAATGCTATTGTTGCATATGGTATGTTTTTTACATTTATTGTCTAACAATTGTTTTGAGTTTAATGGAATATTGACTTCAAAAATTTTGTGGTTCTACTTTCCAGGAAGTACCGTGAGTATTTGCTTTTTTATTCTTTTATTATTATTGTTATTATCATCATTAAATATATAATGTAAATGTGGGCATTCGTGGTGAATTGATATTATCAACTATATCTTGCGATCTTTTGATCAGAATCTAGTAATTCTTATATACGATTCATTTCATTAAGAATCAATTGGTGTAAAATCTTTCGATTCTAATCACTAAATCACAAGATACCCTTATTATAAATATACCATAGTACGATGGTGAAGCTAGTGATCCATCGAAAGCATCAAAGGTGCAAAAATAGCACTCTTATCACTGGATCACGAGATATTTGTGTCCGGGCGTCATACAATGCATTCGAACATTGATATCTTATGCTCAGTAATCAAACCGAACGATTATTGCTTCACTAAATTCTTGCTGAAACGGTACAAAAAGAATTACTTTGGCACATGATCATGAAATATATCGAATAGTTGATTATATACCGATACAGCACATATGAATGATGTATTATGCATAACATCACGTGTATACGATCCTTTATCCTGGCTGTACATGACATAGAATTATCCTAAAGTATTTCGATATTTGATCTTTAATATGAAGTTACCGAAAATGTTTCGGCAAATCCGAAATAGGTTCTACTCCATATATATTCCCGGTGGTGGACCACGGGTTGCGGGAAGTTCGCCACAATACCCTAAATATGTATATTTATATGAAGGGAGGTCAATAGAAAACAGGAAGCTTGTTTTTAGTAACTTTTTTTAAAAAATTAAATTCAAATATCTTAACTATCTAACCAAAATTGCTAAAAAAAAAAAATATATTTATTTTAATTCTATAATTATATAGAATTAAAATTTTTTATCAAGTTTGGTTTAATAATTGTTGATATTTTAATTTGAAATTTGAAAACATTTTATATAAAAAAAATTAACCTGATTTCTATTGACCTCCCCCCATGTATATGTGGACATAAAATAGCGCATACGATAATTTCGTGTAATTTTAATTAAATAAACGTATTTTCATTTATTATTTATTTGGTAGGATAACTTAACATCACAAACAAATATCTTCATCTTAGACGTAACAAATTATACTTGGAAAACTCAATACGCTCCTCAAAATCTTCCAACGAACGCTGGTAATTCCAAAACGAGTTCCAATCAACCGAGTTCCAATCAAACTAAAATCAATGTTCCTGCCATTATAGGCGGAATAATTGGTGCAATAGTATTGGCAGTGGTAGCTGCAGTAATATTAGTTTGCTTCATTAGAAGAAAAAGAAAATCTACGTTTATGTCAACACCATATGAAAAAACTCCAGCAGCGGTACCACCAATTATGGGACCTGCACCTGAAAACGATGATTCACCACCAACTATACCACCATTGACAAGTTTTCAAAAAGATGGGAGTCTTGGCAGTGATACCCGAGTTCTTAATTCGGCAGATCAACGATCCTCTTTTGACAGTTCACATAGTAACTTATCTAATAATCGATTATATAATGAACAATTGAATACTGGATATCAAGGTGGTGAATATTCACCTCATTCGGGAATTTTCTCTGATGAACTACTTCCATTACCGACACAATTTGGAGATAATAGTTCACAACAATCATTAACTATACAAACCTATCCATCAGAAAATTATCAAACATCAACCTATACACCAGAAAATCATCAAACACAATCCTATACACCAGAAAATTATCAAACACAATCCTATACACCAGAAAATTATCAAACACAAGTGTATCCACCAGAAAATTATCTACCAACTAGAATACCATTAACAATAAACACTAGTAGGACACAAGAATATTCACCACGAAGTGAATTTTATAATACACAAGGACAATCATATCAACCACCTTCACACTCATCATCTCAAGAGAACTTATCTTATACGTATCGTCCTGATGATAGATCATCACCAACTCAAGCAACACCAGAAAGTGACAGTAATGAAGGCATTGGATTTAAAAGTCCATTATTTAGAACCGAATCATTATCACCACTAGCAGGTATGGCAACAACGATACCAACTGATTCTAGACCACTTAGTTTAAGAAGTGCAGCTAGAATGAGCCAACCTTTAAGTGGAACAAGTACAGGTATACAACCTAGCAGACTTAGAAATGAAAATCCTGAAAGTTTAGGTCATAGCGGTAATGAAACGAGGTAATTATTATGTTACACTATGTGCATTATATGTATCAAAGATACTTTATTATTTTATTAATTTTATGAAATTTACTTATAAATACATGTAAATTTAAACCTTAATTCATGGCAGGGATGATAATGATACACCAAAAGGTCGATTATTTGTTTCAAATCCTGACCCAGGTTATGAAAGTGATCAATCTTAAACAAAAGAGGACATTGTCTCTTTGGTACAAGTCTTGGTTATCCGTCAAAAATGTGATAAGATGCATAGTGATATATCTATAAATGTCAATTTAATATTTTATAACACCACATATATATATAGTATTGGTGGTACTTTCCTATTAACTAATTATTCATTATCATATACACACATACATATTCACCATTTCTTCATATTCGTACACGTTTTATTAGTTTAATTTTCTATTAGAAGTAGTGGTGAAAGATATTTAGTTTATGAGTCTTTGTGATATATATTATTGCTTACGAGATGTCTCATGTCATTGGGTATTATTTGTACAAATCATAATTTTTTATGCGTGCGTTTTAAAATGTATAATATATCGGTCTAATGATTGGGAATAGAATTACACTTATGTAACAGTATTTGAAAAAGGGCTTTTGTTTTGGGGGTTTGTTCTAGAATTCTTTAGAAATCTATACAAATAATCAGCGTACATCAATAAAAAAAAATAAGTGTATCGTTTGTTTCGTGAAAAGGATCCTCAAATGAATTATTCCTAAATTTTTTAAAACTATACAAAATAATAAATTACAACAAAGATTATATAATCAAATGTAACCTTATTTCTCTCATTGCATTAGTGATCAACAAGGAAAATCACTTTTAGAACCAATAAAACTCTAAATTAATTTTCGTGATTCAAAAAATTAAGTTTGAACCTTTAAGACAGTACAACTTATCTGTTATGTACTACAATATAAATGTAACACTATACATATTGGTATGTTGTGTCTCAGATCAGATGACTCAGATGACGCCTGGCTTGAGTTAATCTTCCCAAGGTCGATGATTTTGGTTAGTTGCTTTTAAGCTCAGCCCAACAGTGCAATGCCAAGACACAGGATCGATAACTAGTGTTTAAAATTGATTTGCACAAGATGCACATGAGCAAGAGTTTTTTTTTTTTTTTGAATTTTAAAAAATTTACTAAATGCGCAAGTAAAATTTAAAAAAAAGCTACACAAAATATACAAAACATATATGAAGGTGCCAGTAAAAAACCAAGCAAATTTTTCTAAGTAAATTTTTTTTTAAACTTTAAAGTAAAATATTTCAATTATTAAACCAAACTTGATAAAAATTTTTTTATTTTAATTTTATATAATTATAGAATTAAAATAAAAAAAATTTACCAAGTTTGGTTTAATAGTTGTTGAGATATTTTAATTTAAAATTTTTAAAAAAAGACTTATTAAAACCAATTTGCTTATATTTTTGTGCAAGTGATTTTTATTTTGAATTTTAAACACTGCCTCCAGCGTTATCCCAAATTTTATCACATGACGATCGACAAAGTTTGTTTTGCAAAATATTGATAAGAAACCCGAAAGGATCGGATTTTTAACAACCTTAAGGGTAGAGTACAACGTTGATCATTTCTATATACTAATATATCAGAAGCTGTTAAACGTCCGAAGCAATTAGTTGACATATCTGGCTAAGGCAGCCGGTAGACTGTTTATTTTAGTGAACAAAATCGGAATTTTTGATTGGATATTGCTAAACGGGCATTGCATGAAACGGCGTAGAAGTAGAGTGTCTTCGGACTAGAACTGGTTTTAATAATTTGGTTTTAATAATTTGGTTTTAATAATTTGGGTTTATCACATGAATTTTGTGATATTTTAGAATTTATTAAAATTTAATTGAATAAATTTTCAAAATCTTACAAAATTTATATGATAAATCTGAATTATTAAAACCGATTCAAACCTCTACTTCGAACAATATTTAGTTCAAATTTTTTGATTTTTAAGTAAAAGTTATATAGTAAGTTTTTTCAATTCTAATAATAACAAGATATAAATTTTCAAACATTAATATATAAAACTATATAATAAAATTAACTTATAGATTTATGTAACTTAACCAATTATATTATTTGAATTTGTATCATTTTGATTAACCTAAGCAAATTTTATCATATATACAAGTATATTTTTTTTAAATAATATATTAGTTTAAAATTTTACTATAATAGATAAATAGTTTTATTTGTAATATAAAATTTTTTTATTAATTAATTAAAAAATAAAAAAAATTATTAGTAATACATTTTGTAGTTATTATATAAATTTTTTTGCAACTAATTATATATAGAAATAATTTATATTATACTTCAAAAATTTTATAAATTAGAATTAAACCAAAAATTATAATATAATTTGAAATTGTTTATTTAATACTAACTATGTGATGATTATTTGAGGTAACTATAAAGATTATTTATAGGTTTGAGTTCTATAGCTTAATGGTTAAACTACAAGATCAATAGTTTAAGTTAGGTTAAAGTTAAAATTTAATTAACTTAAATTAGGTTTTATATATTATAATTTTGAAATAATTTATATATGCTTACTTATGCTATAAATAATTCTAAAATTATGTAATTAATTAAACTATATAATTAAGAATCTGTAATTAGTTCTGTAATTACTAAGTTAAATTAATAAAAATTACTAAACTAAGAAATCACTTTAAAAATAAAAAATAAAAAATATAAAATTTTCAAAAAAATATAAATTAGCATTAATAACTTTGTATATAAATTCAAATTAATTTCTTTATAACCAAAAAAGCAATATTAATATAACTAGTGTTGGCAGCAATAGATGAATAGAACAATAAAACAATAGTATAAAGCAATAGAATTTAGATTAGAATAAAATTTTTGTCAATAAAACAAAAAATTGCCAACAAAATTATAATTAAATATTAATATAGTAATAAATAAATAAAACAATAGAATAGAGCAGTAAAAATTAGAATATAATATAGTATTTATCAATAAAACAAGAAATTAACAATACTGAATATAAAATATAAAAATAATATGAAAATAGGTTTATTTTTTAATACTGTAATAGTTTGAAATTAACAGATAAAAATTTAACTAACACTATTATGAAAAATATACAATAGAGGTAAATATGTAACGTTACTTAATGATTTACTATGGTCAGTCACAGGTTTCACTCTGCTAATTTTATAATTCAATTTTCATAATATATAATAGTAATAGCAATTAACATACTTTTCATTAATCCAATAATAATTGAATATTAGTTAAAATATATATAAGAATTATATATGTATCTACGTAATAGTCCAACTAAACCTAATTTTGAATAAATTAAGCTTATTCGTTTAGAGCATTGCAATTGTATTTGAAGTTATCTCTTGCCCGGAGATGGCATTTATTAATTTCGCCTTCGAATTTCTATTGGCTGCACCAATTTACATGTCACCTTCTAATTAAAATATGACACTCAGGGTTTAGGTTAGTGTTCTTGGGCGAAATTTTGAAATAAATGTGACTTTCCGAAAAAGATATTCACATTACGCACTTAATCTTGCATTCTGGTTGGCCAGAATCAGACATTTAGGGAAAATTAGTAAATGCCCGAAGATGCACTTGTTACTTACACAGCACATACGTACGAATCAGACATTTGGGGAGAAATTGGTAAATGCCCGAAGATGCACTTGTTACTTACACAGCACATACGTACGTACGTACTTAACTGTTAATGCATGCAACTTGCAACTTCAAACACAACACATCTATTATCATTAAAAAACCCCTGGATTTTCTTAGAATCCTTAAAATTATGTTTAATTTTATAAATAATAAGGGGTTTCAAAATTAACAAATAAGTGGTGCATGTAGGATGTTTTTAATAGTAACTTTACTATGTTGAATTATAAATCGGAAAATAAAATAAAGATTCTCTGATTTTCATTTTGAAACCCTAATGAAGTTAATGTCGGTTAACGTTTACCCACCTATATTTAAATAAAGAACTAGTTCCGCAAATCAGCGATAATAATTAATATCATTCGACAGTTGCGATGAATATTACTGTAAATCATTTAAAATCAGACACTCGATTTATACCCGATTTGCCATCATCTGACCTGTGAAGCACCTAGTTGGGGATCAATTTTTAATAAGTGGAAAATATTTTGGCTGGTCAAGTAAGTTCATCGCAATGAAACAAAAGGATGATCGAGACGCTCTTTATATAATGGAGTTGTGCTGATTTGATAAATTTAATATCCACATCGCATTGTGAATCTTCCATGGAGACGCTGGTGAAACTGGTGACTATCTAAAATCTGATTGGCTGCTAGATTAAATTTCACCAGTTTCACCACTATTCGCCAAGAATTTCATCAGTTTCACCAGCATCTATAGAGATTACTCAATCATGGTGCACTTATGTACGATCTCGATCACTGGTCTATTGAGGGAAATGTTTGAGAACTCTTAATAACTGTTATAAAGTAAATGGAGTTGTTGCTCATACATTTTATTATGGATCTTCGTTATCGACACAATGCAGCACTAACTAGTGATCAATTGTTCCTTGTAAGGCCAATTTAATAGTATTAATTGGTCCGGTCGGTTCATCTTTCGGCCCTATATCGGTCTTAAGAATTTTTCAATACGCACGTACGTACACTTTATCAAATTTAAGTTTAAACCACACAACTCTTATACATTACTAATACAAAGTATTTTGGAATTATCTGACTTTAATATGAGAGACCGAGATGAGGTTGGTCCAACGTAAAGTTGATTAGTAAAGTCCGTCGATGATTAACAATTATTAAAATTCAATCTCATATTGGTTCCTCGCAATTATTTTTGAACTCGAACCAAATTTTTTTTTTTACCATGATATTTTTTGTTCAAACTATCGGATAACATCATTATTGGGCATACGACACATGACAGAAAATCTTTTTCATCGCCTGCCAGATATTGTATACTTATTAGTAATCAAATGTTTATAATTATGTACAATATATATGTTAAAGATTCATTGTAAAATGTATTTTTTTTTTGTTTTTTTGTGCAAAGTTAATTTAGTACGTAAAATCACTTTAATAGTATAAATAATATCTATATTAGTTTGGTAATTATTCAAAATTAAAATTCCTTTTTGAACCCGATTTTTTAGGCACAGAATTGCCCTTGCAGATTCATCGTGTAATCTATTTCTCTTGAATGAAATAGTTAAAAAAGGTTAGAAAACAATGTTATTTAATAGTTAAAAAGGATATATAAATATAAAATAACAGGGTTAAACCTGAGTTGTGAAATCGTGAAATCTGCTATGATCATCTGAAGTCTGCTTTTATTATGTATATTAAAAAATAAAAAACATAATAAAATGCAGATTTCACCCTAACCCGATCTACCAAGTGGATTTCCAAACATAATTTTTTTATACAGCCTCCATTGTTATTTTTAATACTGGTCTGAATATAATTTGTTTAAGGGTAGAGTTCAATGTAGATCATTTTTCATATGACCGTGATGGTAAATTTTTTTATTTTTAATATTTTAAAAAATTTTATCATGTTAATTGTTTTAGATTTTTAAGTAAAATTTGTAGAATAGGTTTTTCTAATTCTAATAGTGGTAAAATTGTTAAAATTGGTTAATATTTAATGAGAAATATGTATTTAAGATTAGGTATTATTTTTATTATATGATAATCATGTGATATAAACTAATCAAAATTACAAATTTTGTGTAATTACTGGAAATTTGAAATCATTACAGAAAATTTTACAATATATACAAGTATATTTTTTTAAATAATTTGATTATTAAATTTTATATCATTATAAAAAACATGGTTTAATATATATACTATAAAATTTTAATAAAAATTAAATATAATTATAGAAAGTTTTATTAGTAACATCTTTCAATTTTTATAAAAATTTTAATTGGACATGCAAATTATATAATAAAACGATCTATATGTACTTTACCCTTAAATATAATCTGGATTTATATTACATAGCAAACATTTGTATCTAATAATTTCTGAGATTAATGTTATATGAGTATCTACTCTATAGTAGGAGGTAATAAAAGTATATTGTATTGCTCAATTTACAAAAGTTTAATGTTGTTTTTGCTAGTTTTTTTTTGTTATTTAGATTATTAACTTGTTAACTTTTTTGAACTTTCGCAGACTTATATTAAAGTTATAATATTTTTTAAAAGATATTTAGCAGATTAGAATTATTTAACATATATGATAATATAATTTTATTAATTATGTAAGATTTTAAGAAAAACTATTGAAGGATGTGTAACTGGTTACTAAAAGCCTTATAAAATAGAATCTTTATATTTTTAAAATTGTTATTAGAGTGTGAGTGAATAATCAGATTCTTTTACAACGCGAGTTATTTTAATAATGTCTGTTGATTGGCTGCTTAGTTCGACGACTATCTGTCTGTTTTGATAATGTGCCAGTAAGTTGGTTTCCGATTGGTCAAAAATATTATGACAAAGCCCGTGCTTTTCCGAAAAATACGAATGTTCCCCATGCTATTTATAACAATATCCAAATTTACATTTTTATATTAGAACATCCGTTTTTTATCATAGAGTTATGTTTATTGGCTAAAATTCGAGTTCCGCATTTCGCACTATGAACCTTCAACAAATTGCTTGTGCACGATCTCGTTTACTAGCTGATCACATCGAGGGAGATGCTTGAGTGCACCCATAGATATCAAGAATACAATTTATGAGTATGAATGTATGAATTCGACTCCATTCTAGAAAGATTCTAATCTGATTAGATTGAATCATTAATTGATTCAGATCGAATCAATTTAACATCTCTAATTGCATAGGTTTTGTATGTCTTGGTTATGAAGTACAGAACGATCAGAAATCACCTGATCGCGGATTTTTTCTGCACCATTATTTTGCCTACTTTTTTTATCAGCTAGGACCATTGTTGACCGTAATGAACCGAAGACCAAAGACTGATCTATCACTATATCAAACTAACTGTTTGCATTTTCATACTTTTTAATATGGATCTTCGTTATCGACACACTAACGTATTGCTATATTAGTAATAATAATCCTCCTGTGATCTCGATATAGTGATCGGGGATGATGTTTTTTATATAAATGTAAAATTTTCAGTAACATATAATACCACTCAAGCACTGATTGAAGTCTTATTTTGATCTATCGTGGTAATTGAGCATCACTACAATTATTAGAAAATTTTCATAATAGAAATAATTTGCTCTCTATTTTGACCACTATGAAATCGTATCTAGGTTAGTGCCCGAGAACGTTCTTAAGCATTTAAGAAATTGGCCGATAATCGACACCCGCCTTTGCAATTATTATAACTTTAGGGTGCTCTCAAGCACCTAAATTAATAGATCGGTGCTCAATTTTTAATTAACAGAACATAATTTGGACGGTTAAGTAAGCTTGTCACCGCAATGAAAAAAAAAGATGGTCTAGACCACCTTTTTTTATAATAGAGGTGTGTTTATTGGCTAAAATTTAAGATCCACATTTCGAAATATGAACCTTCAGCAGAATTGCCGTAAGAATGAGCTCAATTAATTATGATGTTTGTGCACGATCTCGTTTACTAGTTGATCACATTGAGGGAGTTGTTTGAGAGCACCTTTAATCTGCAATTCACTCATTGAAAAATAAATAAAGGGGTTTCAGAATTTAAGTACAAGAATCTAATTTTGATAGAAATATATAAAGTAAAGTATTCATGTTCAAATGAGCTATGTATTAACTTTCTGTTTCGTTAAATGGGTGTTTCTAAACACTCTTATTTCATTTGCTGATTTCAAGATTTTGATACACAAATAAGATTTTTTAAACTCGCACTTACCCTAACTCATAGAGGCACAATCACATAACCTTGAGTTTAACATGACCATATCGTTCTAACTATGACTCATTATGATCTGTTTTTTTCTGTCTCGTGCTTCTTATTTGTATTTTTTATTTGTATTGTCTATTATACTAATAAAGGGACTTACAATGAATGAATGTTAAACCTTTTATGTAAAATAATGCGGGTAAATTTCATTTCGTTAATTTGCGAGCAATAATATAATCTATACTATCCAATTTAATCATGAGTATAGATTTCATTATTATAATGATCATCCATATGCATGCTAATCTACGCCAAGAGCCACCGAATTTTAGTAGCATCTAAAATAGCACTACGTAGTGACAATCACATAACCAAATTCTCTTATTTTAATTATGTAAACATATAGACTAAAATAAACAAATTTCGGTTGAATTTGGTTATGTGGTTGTTGTGATATCATTAGTGCTATCTTATCCTTATAATTTATTTTGATTTTGAAAAAAAACTTCCTAAAAGAAAAAGGTGAAACTATCAAAACCCATAATTCAAAACCCCCCCCATTAAAAGATAAGGCCAGAAGATCATGTTACAACGCCTTCAATTAGTGGTAATGATAGGATTTTAAACTATGTTATTCATCATTTTTGATTTCTATCTACCAATTGAAAAATATCACAGATTGTACTTAAAGATGGGCTCTTTATTATCTATTCTTACTTAAAATTTTACTTAATATTATCTAAGATTTTTTGCAAAATATAATAACAAGTAATTTTTACGGTCATTCTATTTTAAATCTCAGTTTTGATCACGACCCTAGCGTCACCCACAAAAAATGGTAGTCGGACAGATCTGCCGGGTACATGTGATTGACAATTTTGATTACAAATCAAAAAAAAGTGTGCACTTTTTATCATTGACCATCGTTACTGCTGTGCTATTATTACTTAAAATTTTTATGGATTTTGTTTATAGTTTTATTCTACTTTATATTATTTTATTAGCACATTTAAATAACGATAAGTCGTTCTTTACTATGTCAAACAACCAAAATCCAGTACAGAATGTCATATTATTCAAAATAATGAAGATTTTTTGAATGAAAAAGGAATCAAAGTAAAAAAAGATGGTTACAATACCGAAATCAATCATTTATCATGTTCAAGGAATAATCAAGAACAATCTGACACGACAATTATAAAATTTTTATCTTGCAAAAAAATTTATCTAAAGTTTAAATATTTTTAGAATAATAGTAATAATAAAATAAATGTATCTTTGAATATTTTTTGGTAATTTAAATAAATTACCATCCATTATAACCTTTGGATTATTGACTTAGCCTTATAAGCGCGTTTTATAGTATTAAATTAAGCTTGTAAAAAATCGAATTGGCTTACTAATATAACCAAAAGGAAACGCATAAACAATAAAATTTTAAGGGTAGAGTACATGTAGATCATTTTATCATATGCTTTTTAAAATTTAAAAATTATAATTTGTATATATTGTAAAGTTTCCTGTGGTGATCTCAAATTCCCTGTAGTTACACAAGATCGGCAATTTTGATTGGTTTATATCACATGATTATCATATGACAAAAATAATACCTAATCTTTAAATACGTATTTTTTATCAAATATTTAATCAATTTTAATGATTTTATCATTATTAGAATTAGAAAAACCTATTCTACAAACTTTATTTAAAAATCTAAATTAATTAATAAAATTTTTTAAAATATTAAAAATAAAACAATTACCATCAAGGTCATATGAAAAATGACTCTACCCTTAAGTGATTCATGTTATTCATTAAAAAAAATTCTTTTGAAAATTTAGAGACCATATTTATTGTTTAATAACAATTCATAAATACGCTAAAGACATAGTGATCGAAATTGAATTGTTCATAATCAAATCCGAACCACATAAAACATGTACCCGGCAGATCTGTCTGGCTACCATTTTTTGCGGATTTACTAGTATGATGATCACCCCAGGGCGACGTCACACTTCAGATTTTTATATCATGTGTTTGATATGTTTACATAATAAGTCATATAATGCAATCATTCCTATGTCTAATGAGATGCGATGGGTCGGGAAGATGGGTTAGACTCATTATCAGCACAGATCAGGTGTCCGGAATTTTTTTTCGAGGTTTAACATTGATTGTTTAATATATAATTTGGAGACCAAATGATTGGATTTGGCGACCAATTATTTGCTTAATTGTTTGCTTAATTCCGCTAACGCACCGTAATGTAAATCAGATCCAATAAGGTTCCGAAGCAAATAAGTTTCTTTTTTAAAAGTCACAATAGTTTTATAATAACTTGTTTATATAAGTTATTAACTTTTATAATAAAAGTTTGTTCTAATTATACACCAGCTGTAGTGTAACATGTGAGCTATCATTTCATGAATATTGAGTCCTCAGACAAGTAACAATTTTTTTCTACAATAAATATTCTGAAAATATTTAATCAATACTTGAAATATTATGAATGCTAAATATATTAGAAAATCCGTCTATAGTGTAAACACAAAGCGAAATATCAAGATAATTCGTTTCCGAAATGGGTAATCATATATAGCAAATTGTGACACAAATCATTATAAAATTCACTATAAGACAAAATGCCACTTCACAAGGGGAAGTCATTTTTCTACTATATAAATATACTTATAGCTTCTAAGTAAGGTTGCGGTGTACGATTTTCTGATTCTAATCGTGTTAAGATCATCAAAATCGGTTCAGTAAATGCTGAGATATAGTTAAAAAAACCATTCGTCAACTATATAACAAGGTAAAATGATATTCAATAGGGTCACCCAATTGTTGTCAAATTTAACCTATTGGTAACCTATTGGTATACAAATTTTGGTGAAAAGAAGTTATCTGATTATAAATCTTGATAAATATAATTTACTATTGATTAAATCGGTAAAAACTTTATTAAGTATGAAATTAATATAGCAATAATTAGGCAACCCTATTACCCTCCTTTTGCGCCAAAATTCATAGGTAATAGTATACCAATGGGTTACATTTGATAAAAATCGGTTAAGTCCTATTGAATATCATTTTTACTTGTGTAAAATTTCTATGTAAAGAAAATTATTGTTTACATAGAAATTTTATATAGTCGGCATGTTTTTAACTATATCATGGCGTCGAACCGATTTGGATGATCTTACCACCATTAGAATCTAATTTACTATATATAGTCGCTACAAGAAAACATACACATTTTGTGTAACAGAATGCGGGCATTGAAAACATCCGAATAACATACGACTGATTATTTTAGTTATTTTGCTTGACATTTTTGATGTAACAACTGATATATAATTTACATGCAACGAACAATCATCGAGCATTTATTTTGAAAGCCCACATTCTCGCATTCTGTTACACAAAATGTGTATGTTTTCTTGTAGCGATGTCGTGAATGGGAGGTGGATTTGGAATCTCCTAGTTAAATTGGGGTTAGGGTTAGGGTATATATGACAAATCAACTCCAGAATGCGGTTTTATATAAAAATTCCGAATCCATTTAAATTCCGTTTCCACTTACAACAGCGACACTCATATTATTACTACGTCGGAAACGAATTATCAATTGATCTATAGGTATACTTAAAAACATTAATTACTCTCTAATCTACGAATGATATATGAAGAATGGCGCATAACGAGTATACGCTTACAATTATTAGTAATCATTTCTTTATGACTCTAGGAATAAATTTAATTGCATTCTATTTATTCGTATGCGTATTAACAGTTAATTTTCTATTATAACTTATTTTGATGATATGCCACTAACTCTACCAATTTCTTATAGAA